ACGACCGCGAGCGAGAGGAGCGAGGCAGAAGAGTGAGGGGATAGGCGGGCGGCCGACTTGGAGCGGGCGCCTGCTTGCCTTGCGGCGGGAATGTTGGTGCCTGGTGAGGCCGGCCATATCTCGGACGAGAGTTGGTCGCCATCGGGAACACCGCGACGTTGATCGGAGCGGGCCGATGAAGGCTAGGCCAGGCTAGGGGGCCTCGCATGGCAGGCCAGGCCTGGCGGGGCGTCTGCCTGGCACCGCCTGTTGCCCTTTCACGTCGGCGCCTGATTTGACCTGGTGGCCTGCCCGCCTGCCGGCTTTGGGTTGTCGACGTGGAGCCAGGTGGGAAGGCCGAGGCGCGCCTGTGGTAACGCCCGCAGCGTTGCTTTTCGGATGAGGCCAGGCCAGGACAGGCCAGGACAGGCCCAGGCCCAGGCCGACCCACGCGAGTGTGGCCCCAGGCCGGCGCAGCGCACGCAGGCACGCTTGCGTCGTTGCCGTCGTCGTCGTCGACGCATCGGACCTGTTGCGCCCGTGTGCGTGTGTGCGTGTGCGTGTGCGTGTGAGTGGTTGGTTGGCTTGCCTGGCCCAGGCTGGGTCCTGATTCTTCTTCTTCTTCTTCCAACCGCCATCACCACCGTCGTCAATCAACGCCCTTGCACCGCCATCGTCGCTCATTGCCGCCGCCGCCGTCCGCACTATCCGCCCGCCGGCGCACCTAGAACAGGGCCAATAGATTTCCACTTAACCGCATCAGCCCTGCCGCACTGCCACACCACCAGGACCATCACCAGCCCTTGACACCAAACATGGTCGACACTTCTGCCAGCGGCCATTCAGCCGCGCGGACCTCGTCGCCAGAACCTCTGGCCGATGCCGCAGCCGCCCCCTCGACATCGACCGCGCCTCCGCCCGCCACGGCCAAGAAGCTCAACCGGCAACGCTCCTCGTCGCTCCAGAAGGGCGCTGCCGTGCTGCGAGCCCTCTCGCGCGCAGAGTCCGACTTTGACCGACAGCAGATCCTCCTCGCACAGGCGTCCGGATCCGATCCAGCCGCCGCCACCATCCCTACGCAGGACGGCTCGGCCATCGACGACGACGCTGCCGCCATTGCCGCTGCAGGCGCAGGCGCTTCCAACGGCGCGCCCAACACCGACCCCGCCTCGTCGCTGCGGAAGCGCGGCGCCGCCGCCTCTGCCTCTGCCACGTCGACATCATCACCGTCGTCGTCGGGCGACCGGCCCCCCGCCAGCGCCACCTCGGACACCACCGTGCAGCCAGACAGGAAGCGCGACCGCGTCAAGGCGACGGCGCTGCCCACGTCGCAGCCCACGAAAAAGAGCTGGGAGATCCCGCGCAAGATCTTCCACTCGTCCATCGGCGGCCTCGTCCTCTACCTCTACCTCTCCAACACTGACCTCCGCGTCATCGTGCGCAACCTCTCCTACTTCCTCGGCATTGTCGTCACCGCCGACGTCATCCGCCTCAACAATGCCGACTTCGAGGCGCTCTACGAAAAGGTCCTCGGCTTCCTCATGCGCGAGTCCGAAAAGGTGCGTGTCGCGCGCCGCAGACCGCTGGCAGCGGAGTCGGGTTCTGTCTCGATTTTCCTTCGCTGACCCACCTGTCTCGCTCTCCCTCTCCTCTCAAACGTTCGGGTGCCGCCGCCACTGCCGCAGGAAAAGGTCAATGGCGTCGTGTGGTACCTCGTCGGCGTCATCACCAGCCTTCACTTCTTCCCCGAGGACATCGCATGCGTGTCCATCATGATGTGAGTTGCGCGCCAGCTCCGTCGCCGTGTCCTGGCCTGCACTGTCGGCCGCGCGCTGACGATCCCGTGCCTCATTCCTTGCACGCCTCCGCCGCAGCCTGTCGTGGTGCGACACGGCGGCCTCGACATTCGGCCGCCTGTTTGGGCGGTACACGCCTCCGCTGCCGTCTCCGCCATTTGCGCGGCGCAAGTCGACGGCGGGCTTCCTGGCGGCCATCGTGTCGGGCGCGCTGACGTCGTACCTCTTCTGGTGCACCTCGATCGCCTCTTCGGGAGAGCGGCCGAACGGCATCTCGTGGTCCGGCTCCGGGCCAGCGCACCCTGCCGTGTTCGGCACGCTGCGCGCTGGCGGCCTCGCCCCCGGCTCGACGACGGGCTGGATGGGGTTAGCTCGCGGCTTTTCCGCCCAGAGCGGTGCCGGCCTGCTGCCCTCGTCGGCAGCCGGTGCGGGTGTGGTGGCAGGACAGTACCTGGGCGCCGAGAGCATCGCGGCCGGTAAACTCGGCACCGACGCCGTCCTGCCCTCGCTCTCGTCAACGACGGCGGCGGCGGGCGATGTGCCGGGCATGCCGTGGTGGATGCTGACCCTGGGCAGCGGCATCGTCGCTGGCGTCGCAGAGGGCCTCGAGCTCGGAGGCGTCGACGACAACCTCTCGCTCCCCATCCTCTCTGCCACGGGCATCTGGGCCATGCTCTTTACCTGGGGCAAGGTGGCGAGTCTGTGGAGGTAGGCATGCAGGCAGGCAGGCAGAGCGGGGAGAAGCAGAGTATCGTCGTGGCTATCGTCGCGGCCGTGTCTCGTCGACCAAGGAGGAGCAGTAAGGAGAAAGAAGACGGGCACCCAGGCCGGGAGGAGGGTGCGGCTGTGGCACCGCGCGCTCGGATCGATCGGAATAGATGCCAGAATGCAATAAGGTCAATCGTCGATTCCACTACCCTAGAGAGGGCGAGAGGCGATGCACCGCGTCCCCTTGTCCCTCCGGTCCCGATAGACGACTGACGGCACGGCGAAGTGACGACCGGTGACGCCTCTGCTCCGTTCGTTCCGTCCATACAACGTTCCGTTCGGTCCATGCTTGACGCGATCCGAGGATAAAAACGACGACGACGACGAGCGTCTCGCGCGACTCGATGGCCTCGGCGCGACTCGATGGCCTCGACTCAATGTCGACTCGGACCGGGTCGGGTCGGATCAAATGCGATCGAGCCCGAGACGCTTGAGATCTCCAAACTCGGCACGGAATAGTTCAAAGCGGCCGAGTGCGTAGCGGAGGTTATCGAAGCTCTCGGCGCTGCCCGCTTCGTGGAGCTGTCCACCTTGCTCGTCTTGGCCCTGCGCCGCGGACCGTAGCACCGACGTCGTCGCCGCGTCGCGGACGACGGTGCCGGTACCCGTGGATTCGACCTCAGCGATGGCTCGAGCGAGGACGGATTCCACTTCCTCCTTTGCAAATACGATGCCCCATAGCTGTCGGGCGTCGAAGCGAGGTTGTGTGTTCGAGAGGCGAGGAACAAGAGGCGGAGGAAAAGGGAAGTGAGGCGGGTCAGTGTCGGCAGGCTGACATCTGTGAGGCAAAACAATCTCGCGGCACCGGGAGCGCGACGGCGGCACCCATCTACTCACGCCCCACACGGCATGCGTCGCCGGACTCCACACGCGCACCTCGCGGTCCAGGCGGTCGACTTCCTTCTCGATGCTGGCGTCGAGCCGCGCCAGGGCCAGCATCTGCGGCGATTGGGGCACGTCGACGGCGGGCGACGAGACGCCATCGAGCGCGCCCAGCGGCGTCGCAGCGAGAGATCCGGCCTGCCACGACGACGACGAGACCGATTCGGTGCTCAATCGCCGCTCCTTGGGCGCGCGCTCCGTGACCGTCATCGCAGGCGTCATGGGCGCTGCGGCCACCGCGGCCACCGCCATGGGCGGAACGTCAGTCTCGGTGGCCGGCGTCGTGGCTGCCGTGCCAGAGCGCAGCGAGTGGGCGCTCGGCGTACGTGCGCCCGGTCCAGGCGCCTTGCCGCTGCCGCCGAGCGACTTTTCCAGGGCCCCAAACTGCGAGGCGCGCGTGTCCTGCTTGTTCGACGTGCCATCGTCGCGGCCGGCGCCGTAGCCGCTATCGCCCGAGACGAGGCTCGAGGTCGAAGTGGCTGCGGATGCCGGTGTCGACGAGGCGGCGGACCCACCACGTGGAGCAGGCACCGAGACCACCGAGGGCGGCAGCGCCATCTCGGTCGGAGCGGGCAGGTTGTCGAGTCCGATGGCACGTCCCCGCATCCGCACCAGGCGACCCTGCTCGACATAGGCACGCAGCCACTTGCGCCGCTGGTGCTCGTCCGGATACGCGCCGTGGTGCCGCAGCGACCACGACATGGTCGGATGGTGGTAGTCTGCTCGCCACTCTTGGAAGTGGTTGGCGATGTCGTAGGCCCTCGGGTTCGGGCAGGCGTACTCGAAGTCGATGACCACCAGCTTGTGATGCGGCGGCGGCGGCTTGCGCGCCCGCGAGCGCGAGGCGGCTCGCTGGGTGGCCCTGACTGGTGGGCTGGCGGTCGCGTTGCTGTCGACGCTGCCGCGCTGCCGGTCCATTGACGATGACGAAGACGACGAGGCGGCGGGGTGAGCGATGTGGTGCCGGGGCATACCGGCGGGGATTGCTGGTGACTCGAGGCTCAGCTCAGTCGGGCCGCCGGCGCCGCCGTCGCGCGCCCCGCCTCGATCGCCAGGGTCGATGCCGGCGCCGCCGTGGCCGTTGCTCGTACCGGCGGCGTTGGCGCCGCCGTGCGCGCTCGACTTGATCTCGAGAAGGTTGCCGTACTGCGCATCATTGTGGGCAAAGACGCGCTTGCTGGGGCCCTCGCGACGCTCCCAGGTGCGCACAAAGTGCTTGAACTCGTCGAGCTCCTTGACCATCGAGGCGAGGTCGAGCGCTCGCATGCAGCGCAGCGTGTTGCGCAGGCTGCCCGGCGTAGGGCCGATGGTGTCGGTCGACAGCCCTCCCTTGCCATCCGCGCCCGCCACGATCTCCTCCTTGATCGAAGGGTGGCCCTCGAACGCGATGGCGATCGCCTTGGACCCGCTCTCTGACCGCGCAAAGCTCTCGACCAGCTGCACCACCTTGGCCGCCTCCCTCGACCAACGCTTCATCCTGCGCCACACGCCCGGGTACGGACCTCTGGCGCTGCTGCCCAGCGACGAGCTTCTTCCCTTGCCAGATCCGTGCTCGACCGAGGTGCTTGTCGACGAGCGCGGCGCTCCAGCGACGGGCGGAAAGTAGGTGGACGACGACTGTGAGCCGGCGCCGGTTGCCGAGGCAGAGGCGGGGCCCACCCTGGGGCTGCCGTAGCCATGCAGCGACGGGCTGAACGACGACATGCTCGACTGCGAGTCGTAGCTTGTCGCCAGCGAGTCGAGCGAAGCGACGGAGCTGTTGTGGTGCGAGTAGTAGCCGCCACGACCGTGGGCGAGCTCGGGATCGGGGCCCGGCGGCAGCTCGTTGGGACCCATGGGGGCGGGGCTCGCCCGCACGCTGCGACGCCCGTCGAGGCCGTAAATCATGGGCGAGGAGGCGGCGAGGCCGGAAGCCATCCCGGTCGAGTGGGAGGGCTTGTGCCGCAGCTTGCGCCTGGGGCGATGCGAGCTGGCCATGATGTGGTCCTGGATGCCTCTGCCGAACCCCTTCTCGCCGGGCGCCTTGAGGTCGCCCTGCTCCAGCACCGTCCTCATGACCTCGAGCGGGACGGCGTGGAGCTCATTCATCCTCCGCGCCACCCAGTGGGCCCGACCCTCACGACCCTTGATCTTGAGCTTGTCGCCCGCCACGATCCTTGCTTCACGATCGCCGAGGTCCCGCATGCCCTCCTTCTGGATGGGCTCGCACTCGTAGAACTCCTCGACGCGGCCGTTGGCAAAGGTGCCGAGGATGTGCGGGCCAATCTCGTAGAGGCTCGACAGCGTGTGGAGGATGAGCAGCTCGGCCCTGCGCGAGAGGAGCGCCTCGGAGCCGGTGCCGTAGACGCGCAGCAGCACAGTCGGCGGCAGCGACGCTGTCGGCGCGGGCGGCTGCTGCGACGGGGCGAGGCGGTAGCTGGCAAAGAAGACGGCGTTGGTGAAGGCGCCGCTGATGCGCTTCAGCTTGAGGTTCTGCGCCACCAGGGGCCGCAGCGAAGGGTCGACGGTCTCGGCCGACCAGCCGGCGAGCTTGAGGTGGATCGAGAGGAGGTCGAGCACCTTCTGCAGGAACTTGGGCGTGTCGGCCTGGCGGGCGTCGAGGCGGAAGCCGCGGGCGGCGGGGATGCCCTCGGCGTGCATGTCGTCCTCGTTGACGTCCTCGAAGTCGAAGGCGTCGAGCTCGTCGCCCTCGTTGTCCATGCCTTCGTCGTCGGCGGCGTCGTCCTCTGCATCGGCGTCATCACCGGCGCCCTGCGCTTCGGCCGCTGCATCGCCCACCGCTGGTCCTGCCGGACTCGTGAGGGTAGCGGATGCTTGTGCTGCCGCTGGGGCTGTCCCATTGTAGTCGAGGCCGGGCATCTGCTTGGGCGATAATCGGAGGTGGGCATAGGGGTGTTCCTTTGTCGAAGTCATGGACCCGTTGCCATGCGCGAGGAAGTGAGAAGAGGCGGTTGCGATGGGAGTGGATGTGCCGCTGAGGTGGCGCTCGCCGCTGAGGTCGCAGACGCGGCCGGCGTAGTCGCCGTCTTGATCGTCGTCTGGTGGGCTGTGGGGCCGCCGCGCTTGCTGCAGATGCTGCTTGCGCTGTGACTGTGCATCGCCGTTTGCCGGTAAGCCGTCGGTAGTGACGGTGAGGTGACGCTGATGGCTTCGGACCGGCTCGTCGAGCGCGTCGAGGGAGAGAGATCCAAGGTCCGAGTCAAAGTCGGAGAGGTCGACGCTGGACGAGGTGGTATAGGAGTAGGCGGACAGGGCGGGCGAAGGGTACGGGTCAAAGGAGGAGGCGACATCGACATCGCTGAGCGGATCGCGAAGCTGTTGTGTAGGGAGCGATGGCGACTGGGCATCGTGTTGGCGCGAAGTCGAGGGCGACGAGGGGGTGTGCGGTTCGGGATGACGTCCCGCGGCGGAGTCGCGCATCGGCATGATCGCCCGTGGTGTTCAGCTGGAGCGAGGGTTGGGCGGGGAGAGGTATCAAGCTGAATATGTGGTGGTGAATAAGGTCAAGGAGGTGCCTGAGCTGGCTGCACGGAAGACGTCAAGAGGGATTTTGGCGTTTGCAACGCTGGCTGCATGCGTGGAGGTGCCGATGGGTTGTGACGACGGGATGGTCCAGAGAGATAAACTTTGGGCCAGCCGGCTAATGAGGATGGCAGAGCGAGGCTGCTGTCGGCTTCGTCGTTGGCGGGTGAAGGATGGCAAGGCTGGACGTGTGGTTCGTGAAATTGGGCGTGAAAGGTGGATCGGGAGCCGATAGCAGAGCAGGTAGGGATGGGTGGGAGTGAGCGACGAGGCAGTGGCTCCGGGCGCGAGAGGGTATGCGGTGCGATGGTCCCGAGAGAAGCGCAATATTGATCCTGGATCCTTGGTCCTTTGCGAGGGTGTTGATGGCGAGGGGAGTGTCAAGATGGAAGTGGGAAGGAGAGAGGAGAGCGCTGAAAGGAGCGAAGCGTTGCGGTGCGAGGCCAGCCGGGGTCGGGTCAAGTCAAGTCAGGCCTGGCAATGACGAAGGCGGAGAGAGTTGGGCTGGGCCTCGCCTGGCCTCGCCTGGCGTGACTTGGCCTCTGCCTGGCTAGCGAGGTGCGCGCAGCGGGGCCGGCCGGCGCACGTTGGGCCCTTGCCCTTCTTGGCTTCCGACTGGCCGGATCCAGGCGAGCAGGCGAGCGGCAGCTGCCGTGCGTCGGCTTCCTTCCATCATCGAAGGCGCGGCCGCCCTCCCCCACTCCAGCTCAGAATTCGGGTTTCGGGTGATCCGGTGGATGCTGCAAGGCTGCTCCCACGTCCTCTTAAATTCTCCTCGACCGACCTTCGGATGGCCTCGTCTGCTGGCCCCTCGACCACCACTGCCCAGACGCCCCACCGCACCACATCACACCGCACCACACCGGGTTGTCGCCGCCGCTGCCGCTGTCGCCATGGCCATCATCGAACCTGTACCAGATACGCCGACGCCGACGCCGCCCCAGTCCTCGACCGGCGGCCCTGCCGCCCCTGCCCCCAGCGCGGGTTCTGGGCCCTCGGAGACCATGGCCGGCTGGGCCAACCAGACGTCGCCGTCGCCGCGCAACCTCGAGGAGACGTTAAAGTCGTTTGACTCGATCCCCTTCTTCATGCAGGACCTCGATCCGAGCAACGTCGCAAACGACCCGGCGGCGCAGACCAAGCTCGAGGCGCTCCAGGCCCTCGCCTTTGACGGCACGCCCGACGAGGTCGCCGCCAACTTCAAGGAGCAAGGGAACACCAATTTCGTCCACAAGCGCTTTAGGGAGGCCGCCGGCTTCTATACCCAGGCCATCGAGGCTGGGCCAGAGGACAAGGCGCTGAGGGAGACGCTGCACGTCAACCGCGCCGCGTGCAACCTCGAGCTGCAAAACTACGGAATGTGCCTCCGCGACACGTCGGCCACGCTCGCCATCAACCCGCGCAACATCAAGGCCTACTACCGCGCCGCCCGCGCGCTCCTCGCCCTCGACCGCTCCGCAGACTGCGTAAAGACGTGCGACCTCGCCCTCACCATCGACGACGCAAACCAGGCCATCGCCGCACTCCGCAAAAAGGCCCAGGAGCGAGACGACCTCGTCAAGCGCCAGGCACTGGAAAAGGCCGAGCGAGAGCGGAGAAAGAGGGAAACCGAGGCCGCCCTCACCCAGGCCTTTCTCTCGCGCGGGCTGTGGCTCGAGTCGTCGCCGCGCCCTCCGGACAACCCGACGCCGGCCCACTTTGACCCAGAGGAGCTTCCGCCCCACTCGTCGCCCAAGCTGCCCCTCGTCGCACCGCCCTCCTCGTCGTCGTCGTCGTCGACGGTGCGGTGGCAGGCACCCGACCCCATCCGCACGCCCCTCGTGCTGCCCGTCTTCTTCATCTACCCGGCCCACGCCCAGTCGGACCTGATCCAGTGCTACGCAGAGGACACGCCGCTGCACCTCCACCTCGAGAGCATGTTCCCCTCTCCCCCCTCGCTGCCCTGGGACACCAAGGGGGAGTACGTCGCAGACAACCTCAACGTCTACGCCACCACGCACAAGCAGCGTCTGCTCAAGCTCGGGAAAAAGCTCACCCTGCGTCAGATCATGGACCAGGCCGCAAAGGATTCGCCCGACCCCAAGAAACCCCAGGACCGGGACGGGATGGTCATGCGCGATGGCATGCTCAGCCTCGTCGTCGTCCCAAAGGGCGACGAGGAAAAGGCGTGGGTCGAGCGGTTCAAAAAGCAGCGCGACGAGGCAAAAAAGCAGTAGTGGGCCGGCGGCGGTGGCGGCAGCGAGGAGACGAGTCTCTGTAATTCAAGTCGTTGCAGCAAGGGGCCAATCTAGACGTCGTGCCAATCGAGCGACTGCAGAAGGGGGCCACGAGCGAAGCGGGGACGAGTGCCGGAGTCAGCGCCATGGCACAGGATCACAAGGGCACACGAAGTGCTGACCCTTCATTACTCACGCCAAGGATGGCCGTCTTGCTCGGCAGCCGACCCGCCATGGGGCTGAGGACGGTAATTTTCTTGCGCACCGTATCGATGTCGGCGCTGTGCGAACGCGATCCACAAGCAGAGTCCGCGAGATGAATTCCCTTCAGCGCTTGGCTCGCATAGTGGTCTTCGAAAGCGAAAAGCCGGCCCTGCCACTCACACATGCACAAAGCCGAGAATGGGCGCGCCCAGGATCTCGTCGTCGTCGGGCTCCTGAATCGAGTCCGGCTGGCCCGCCCCTCCGCCACCGCGTGGCGGCTGCACCAGCGCCAGCACCGAGTTGAGGAGCGACGACTGGTCCGCTGCCGAGTTGGTCGGGTCCAGCTTGACGAGCTGCGTCTGCGTCACGGTCCGTTGTGCACCGATGGGCAGCGCCGAAGAGGGCGCCATCGCCTCTGATGCACATCCAGACGGATCCAAGAGGAGTGAGAGAGGGTCAGCTTCTAACCCGGCGCTGAGGCTGAGAGGTGGACGATACCTCGCTCCCCGTCCTCACCTTGTCCAACGCGGTACACCTCGAGGAGGTCAAAGGGGATCGTCGTCGAAAACGGGCTTAGGGACGGCAGGCCGCCCAGCGGGTCGGCATGGCCAGGCAGCGCAGCCTGCGGCAGCCCCGTCCCGCCCGTCGTGCTGCCATCACCACCACCGCCGCCGCCCGACTTGCTCGAGGGTGCTGCGGAGCCGCCGTAAAAGTAGTTTCGCACCTGGAGCGCGCGCAGCCGCTGCTTGTACGTATCGTCGAGGTCCACGACGCCGCCAGACTTGGGCAGCTTGATCACATTGACCCGCGGGAGCGGGATGCCGTCGGTGCCCGGTACGCGCGAGGGGGCGGCGCCGCTGCCAAACATGCGTGTCATTTCGATGTTGAGCTTTTCGTGGCCCAGAATGACGATTGTGTCGACTGTGAAAGGGGGATCGGAGAGATCGGAGGGGTGGAGGAGGAAAGCCACAGCAGCCACTGTCGTCAGTCATGTTCCCTGCTCACAGGCAAGGCTATGCGCTCCGGCGCCGCGGCCATCCCCACCCGCTCACTAACCCTTGAATGCCTTGACGCAGTGTTGGATGAAGGCGTACCTCGACCGCGCGTCGGCGGTGATGACGCCCGGCGTGTCGATGAGCAGGCCGGACATGCGGCTGCGAAAGTCCCTGGCGAGCCTCCTCTCGACGCCCTCGACGAGCCAGTCGACGACGCGCCGAAAGTGCCTCTCGTTTTCGCGCACGCTCTCCTTACCGAGCCACAGCGAGAGCGGCGCGACGCCGTGGGCCGTCGAGGGACCCGGCGGGATGGCACCCGTCGTCGGCGTGCTCGTGCCGAGCGGGAATGCGGGCGACGGCGACGGCAGCGAGGCCAATGGCAGCGGCGAGAGCGGGAGAGCAGAGAGGCAGCAGGGTAGCGGCGAGGCGCCCTCGCTCGGGTCGAGGTTGACGACGACGGGCCACCAGCCGGTGATTTCGCTCTGGCTCTCTTCGAGCTTGCGCTTCTTTTTGCTCTCCTCGGTCTCGTCGTCGATGGCGTCCGGGTAGACGATGCCGTCGCCGCCCTTGCGCAGCGACTCGGCCACCTTGCCCGCCTCTCCCTTGCCCAGGCTAGCGACGACGGGTGAGCGGAGCGCGTAGTTGGAGAGGAACTTGATCAGGCTCGTCTTGCCTGCCGACTCGGGGCCCAGAACCATGACGCGCGGTCCCTGGCCCTCTGGCCGATAGGCGCTCGTCGAGCTCGCATTGGAGGCGGCAGCGGCCGACGAGCCGCCGTGGTTGCCGCCCGCCGCGCCCGGGTCCTCGTCTGTGGCCCTGGGCGCGATGTAGGAAGGGTCCGAGCCGGCCGACACGAGGGCGGTGAGGAGCTTGGGATCCTGGCGGAGCGCCTGCCTCGCCTGTATCCTGGCCTTTTCGAGGTAGAGATGGAGGTTGGAGTAGGACGTGTAGGTGGGCGAGGGCTCGTCGGCGAGGTACTCGGTGGTGGCGCTGCCGGCGATGTCGATCTGAGCGCCGTTCCACGTCGAGACGGCCGCCTTGGCCTCGTCGCCGAACGGGTACCAGCGCTCCTGGGTGCTGCCGACCAGCTCAGCGCCAAAGATTTCGGCGTCGCCGGCGTTGGGCAGCAGGCGGATCGAGAGGCGCTCATGGGGCTCGAGCTCGAAGCGGTACTCGGATCGGGGTGGCAGCGTCACGCGCCGTATCGACGGGCCGGCGCCGGCGCCGGAGGACGAGGACGGGTCGGCCATGGCTGAGCGGACGGCGCGCGTTGAGCAGTCGCCTGGGTCCCCGGCGAACAGCGACGTTGGCGGCCAATGGCGGTGGTAGGAGGTGGCAGGAGGTGGCAGGAGGTGGCAGGAGGGGGCAGGCGGCGGTACTGGTGGTGGTGAGATGGTGAGGAAGCAACTAGCAGGTAGATGGCCCCGCCGCTAATAATGTGGAGTGGGGCGGCGCGGCGAGAAGAACGCGACCCCCGGGCAAACCTCAGGCGCTCAAGCAGGCCAGACTGAGAGGCGTGGAGCGCTGTATGTTTATTACGTAATAGATCTGACTTCGCACCATCCGAGCATTGATAGTGTAGGGGTATCATGAGTCGTTGCCACTCATCGTCTGGTCATCCGACGATTAACCGATTCGACTCGACCGGGGTTCGAGTCCCCGTCAATGCATTTCTTTTTTCGCGTTTGTCTCGCCGCGTCGTGCGTACGGTCCGGACTCGATCGTTGGAGCTTCGGCGGCTCATTGCTCAGGCACCACCACTCGCTCGCCCGGTCTCACCGAGCGGGAGGCAAACTCTGAGGCAAGCTCGAACGACGAGACCACAGCGGAGCATGACGACCGCGGTCCCCTTCTGCTCATGACTTGTTGCGGACCCGCCGGAGAGAGGTTTCGTCCCAGCGGACTAGGGCGGGATCGAGATGATCCAGGACTAGCGTCCACAGCTCATTCGGAAGCCTAGGATGCTGCCGCATCCCGGGCCTGTTCATCGAGGGAGAGTCGACGGGCCGAGGGACGGCCCGATTGCAAGGACGAGGCCGTGATGTGTTTGGCTCCGAGAGCAGAGTGGCACGCTCGAGCCGAAGACGGACGTTGCGTGCCAGGTTTTGGCCGTCGCGGGCTAGGGGTGGTCGACGGGGTGACCGCGTCGCCTTTCTGGACCGCCGAGGCCTGAGGAAGAATGCGCCCAGGAAGAGGTGTCCACTTCGAAGACAAGCGGTTGCCCGGCGCGAATGGGTCGGGCCGGGAGGGTGACCACCACTGTGGGCGGAACATTCTGACCCCCACCCTCTGTGGGGCGCGCATGGCTCGCCGGAGCACACCTCGCCGCTGCCCGAACTGTGCGTCTGCGAAGATGCGCAGGAAATCCAACGGCAGGCTGATCAGCTCGAGGACGAGGACCGCTGCCGTACGTTGCCGGCGGGTGGCGTCGCAGCCATTGATGAGGCGGCGGCGGAGCTCTGAGATGTCGAAGACCGCGGCCGCGCTGGGCCAGAAGCGGGGGGTGGCGCAAGGCAGGGGCGGCGCGGGCAGCCCGCCAAAACGCGTCCTCAGGACACGGCACCTTTCTCCGTCTCGTTCTTTGCCCGCCCCGCCTGGCTGGTTGATCGTGGCCCCGGGCAACAGGCGTTGTTTGGCTACGTGGGAGCATGCCATCTGACCATCACCATCACATTCCCCGGTCTCGTCTCCATCGACGTGCTCGCTCCGCGGGCAAGTCAAAGGTATCGTCTCGACCATGTCGCTTCTGCGCCCGCTACCGTCAATGCAGGCGCGATCTGGTGCCAAGACCGGTGCTCATCGACGGGTGCAAGAGGAGCGACGCATTGGACCGCACGGCCGACCACCATGCTCGAGCAGGCCCTCCCTGGCTCATCGCGTGGCACAGTCCTGGAACCGATCCCAGACGAACAGGAGCACCGAAGGCATGTCGGACGATCTGTTCGAGCGGTGGATGTGGCTCGGTCGATCGATGCAGTCGCCCCGCCCAGTCGGGATACGAGGGCACCCCCCGGTCTTCGACAGCCTATGGGTCGGTCGGAGCTGAGCATCGATGGTCAGTCGCGAGCAGCAGCTCGGTGAGCGCTCAGAGACGGGCAGCGGTCTGCGTGGCGTGCACGGGGTCAGCCCGCCCAAGGCAAGCACGACAAACGAAGGACACCGGACTTTAATGTCGATATTCCACAATGCTCTTCTCCCGGTCGCCGTGCCATCGGCGGGACTACGCCTGCCTCCTCCGGGTGCGCTCAAAGTAGTCGCGCAGCTTGACGTCGATGCCGACCATCTGGTTCTTGTGCCTCTTGATGCAGTCGAGCAGCTCGTCGTCGCTCGAGGCGACGGCGCCCGAGGCTGGGTGGCTGCCCTCTCGCAGCGACTCGACCTCGGCCTCGCTGGGCAGGGCAAAGACGTTGAACGTCGGCTCCCATCGTCCCGGACCCCGGCCGCGCAGCACGGCGTCGCGCGCCTGCCGCGCCTTGCGCTCCTCGGGCAGCTTGGGGACGCGCTCGAGCTCGGGCACCTTCATCTTGAGGCCGGCGCGCTCGGCCGTCGCGACGTCGGCAAAGAATTGGGCGCGGATCTGCGTGTCCGACACCTGCTCGAGCGACGGCGGGTCCCACTTGGCCACGCCCTGCGCCCGCTTGCCCGTCTTGGGGTCGCGTCCGAGGACGTGGGTGACGCCCGTGAAAAAGTCGCGCCCAATCGACAGGTCGCAGAAGGCCGTGGCGAGGCGCATGTCGAAGCGGAAGGCCTCCTCGACGTCGAAGCGGCGCGCCTCGAGGATGGCCTGGTGCGTCACCTTGAGCGCGCGCGGCGACTTCGTCCGGAGCGTGTCGAGCGTCTTGCGCGCCCACTCCTTGACGTCGGGCGTGATCAACTCGAGGCCGAGCCGCTTGAGCTCCTGGGCCGCCTGCGTCGTCGCCTCGCCAGACGCGATCTCCTCGAGGCAGTGGAAGATGCTCTCGCAGGACAGCTGGCCGAAGACATAGTCGAGCGCGACGCGGCGGTCGCCGAGGAAGGGCGTCTTGGAGACGACTTCGGCGCGCTCGGCACCGAAGGGGTCGCCGCTGAACTCGCCGATGGCGGACGCGACCAGCGCCGGGTTCGAGGCGGCCTCGGCGGGAAGCGAGGCGAGGCGGGCGACGACGGGGTCGATGCTGCTTGACGAGATGTAGTGGGTGGCCAGGCCGGCGAGGTAGGCCTCCTCGCCGCTGATCTGGGCGCCCGTGAGGCCGAGGTACTGGCCGATCTTGCCGTCGAGGCGGGCGAGGACGCGGGTGACGCCGACGTCGGGGAAGTAGCCGATGCCGGTCTCGGGCATGGCGAAGCGGGTGCGCTCGGTGGCGATGCGGAGGGGCGCGTGGACCGAGAGGCCGACGCCGCCGCCCATGGTGATGCCGTCCATGAGGCTGACAAAGACCTTTGGCTTGGCCGTGTCCGTGGCGCCGCCCGCCTTGGACTCGAGGGCGATGCGGGCGTCTTTGCCGTCGCGGCCGGAAGCGTTGATGCTGGCGACCTCGCCGAGGCGGGCGATCATGTAGTCGAGCTGGAACTCTTCGCGGAAGAACTCGGTCGACTTTGCGCGGTCGTCGGGGTCGGACGAGTCGGCCTGGTGTACGATGGCAAGGACGTCGCCGCCGGAGCAGAGAGCGCGGCCCTTGCCGCGCAGGAGGATGACGTGGCAGTTGGGCGAGCGGGTGCACTCGTCAATGTACTTGTTGAGGAGGTGGACCATCTGCATGTTGACGGCGTTGAGGGCCTTTTCGCGGTTGAGGAGGATGGTGCGGAGGCCGCCCTCGGAAAAGAGCTGGACGGGCTGACCGTCGAGGCCCGACGAAACGCCCGAGGGGCCCGACGACGACGAAGGTGCCGACGCCTGGATGGCGTGCGGCTGGCTGGACGACATGTGGCGCGAAACGGCGTTGAGCCGGCGGCTGGCGTCGGCGGCGGCGGCGGGCTTGGTCGACGAAGGCGGCATGGCCGGTGTTGCAATGGTGCGAGGAGCGGCGGCGGCGGTGGAGCGGAAGAGACCGTGGGTGGAAGTCAACCTGGACCTGAGTGCTAACGACGCGCGCATGGCGATTCTGGCGGGTGGAAGGCGTGGAGGCGGGAAAGCAAGGCGACGAGGACGGGGAGTATAGGGTTGCGGGGGGCGGGGCCAGGCCGGTGAGGACGGAGACGGAGAGCCAAAGGGGCCGGTTAATGAGGAGAGCGGCGAGCCGGGAGAGCAGGGCCAGGGGTGATCCAAGCGAGGCTCGAAAAGAAGATCGAGCAGCGAGCAGCCCCGACCCCCGTTGCCCGAACCCCGACCCCCGACCGGGACGCCCGAAGGCTGTCTTCGGTCTCGATTGGGCGGGGGGGTCCAGGCTTGGCTTTCCTTCAAACGAGCGAGCCGCACGCTGCCACAGGCCACTTTGTGCACCGACACCGGCTACTCACATTCTTATTTTACAGCGATCGACGACGGCGAAGACGAGGGAGTTCCGGAAAGGGTGCGTGTGAGAGCGGTCAAGGGCGCTCGCTGCTAGCTGGTCGGTGCTGGGAGCTAACTAAAGGTGGGCAGGCCCGCCTACTTCTTTCCATCCGGCAAGCCCGCCCGCCCCCCAGCTCGTCCTCCACCTGGCCCGGGTCCGCCAAGCCAAGGAAGCCCCGCGAGCAGAGCAAGGGCGGGGAGCGAGGGCCACCCACTGTGCCGATCACGCTATCGGCCTGCGGCCCGATTTCAGAACTTGGAGCAGCCGAGAGATCTGGCCCCGCCCGCCCGCCTGCTTGCGCTCGAGCCGGCTTCCTTCCGAAGACTAGGACTCACAGCCCCGCACCGCCCCCTTAGCTCCTTGACTTTCCTACTGACCATTCATTCGCCGCCCGACTTCGATTCCTACTACGAGTCTTCTCGATTGCCTGCCTCTCCTACCCTGCTCTCCCTCTCTCTGTGCCCCGCTCGCTCTACTGCCGACCCTCTCAAACCGCCCAGCATGGCATCCATCAAGGGACCCGCACCGGCGCCCACCTCGTTTCCGGGGGCCGACAAGCTGCGCATCGGCATCGTCCACGCGCGCTGGAACGAGGAGTGCATCACGCCCCTCGTCAACGGCTCCGTCGAGTCCATGGTCAAGGCCGGAGTCAGGCCGGAGAACATCGTCATCGAGAGCGTCCCCGGCTCCTGGGAGCTCCCCATCGGCACCAGCCGGTGAGTGGGCCAATGGCCAGGCCGACGGCCATCGGTCGAAGAAGACTTTCAGGGAGCCGTGCGCTGACCCCGCCTCGACCCTTTCTTCTCGTGCCGCTCTGGCTTGGCTGCTCTCGAACCCCGCCCCCAGCATGATCGCGGCGTCGCAGGTGCAGGCCTCGTCCAACGTCTCGGACCTCATGGGTGCCACGTCTCTCCTCGACGGCGGATCCGGCACCTCGACCCCGGCGCCCGCCGCCGCCGCCGCCGCCTCCTCCTCGGGCGGCAAGGCCTCGCGCGCCGCCCTCGACGCCGTCATCTCGATTGGCGTGCTGATCAAGGGATCCACGATGCACTTTGAGTACATCTCCGAGAGCTGCTGCCAGGGCCTCATGAAGGTCGGCCTCGACACAAACGTGCCCGTCATCCTCGGCGTCCTCACCGCCCTCACCGAGGACCAGGCGCTCGAGAGGTCCGGCGTGGGCAGGAACGGAAACAAGGGCCACAACCACGGCCTCGACTGGGGAAACGCCGCCGTAGAGTGAGTCGGTGTGGCCGTGACGCAGCGTCATCTTCCCCGGCCACGTTGGCTGACCCTTTGAACGCCCTTCCATGCCACCCTCCCCGCTCGCCTTCCGCCGCCGTGCCCAGGATGGCGCTCAAGGCCAACAAGTGGGCCGAGGGCAGCTTCAGCAGCGCATAGACACTCGCACTGTTGCCTCACGCTGGGCTGCGCCGTCTCGGCGTGTGTCCCTGCCGGGCCGGCCCAGATAGGAAGAGTACGTCGGCGAGAAAAGAGAAGACGATTGACACGGATCCTGCACATGACTCGGCAGCGCCGACGTTGTGCCTGCATGTGCGTCCGCCGAGTAGCGGCTAGTGTGTGACGAGCGGGGGCGACGGGCCGGCCGGGAAGATAGGCGAGCGCTCGGCATGCCCCAGCTCGGGACAGCTCGACGCGATCCCAGAGCACCAACAGAGGCTCGTGACACTCTCCGTGCTTCGGACGGCGACGCAGTACCGCACACGTCGTCGACGCCGTGTCAGGGAAGACGAGACCATGATGGGGTTTTGGGATTGGCAGCATGACGACGCAAGGTTGCGCCGCAGAGTCCGGCAAAAAGGAGGGCCAAGATGTTCCCCGCCTCTTTATCGTCTCTCGAGGATATTGTCCTGCCGCTCTCTACCTAGTTTTCTTGCTCAAACTTCTGCAGGAACTTCTCGAGGTCAAAGGCAGGGTTCTCCGGGTCCGTGACGACTGTAGGAGGCGGGCGAGGGAGGCATGGGCGAGGAAAGGTGGGCAGCAAGTGTCAGCATCGCAGGCCATTGGATGCGCCGTCTTCGCGCTTCGTAGCCAGCGCTCAGCATCGTCACGATTAGGGCTGGAGCAGGGCGGCGGGTCGAGGCCACCTCATGCGGAAGGGACGCCGACGAACACGGGCTGGTCCCGTAGGGAAGAACAGGACGCCCCGAGCTTTTTGGCTCCGTCGCCAGCAATTCCCGGACGATAAACGGAGCCTCGTCGGTGGCCGTGCCGCAAGGGAGGGCGGATGGTCGATCACTGTGGTCATCGATCCTACACGTTGGAGACCCCGCAGTGCCAGGCCAGCATCATGTTGGCGGCCAAGGCGAGAGCAGCTGCCTCTGCGCAGCGCAGCGACGTCTGACCGACCGGAGAGCTCCGCTGATAGCGGCGCACCAGTCCAAGACCCGACTAAGCTGGGCCTGTCCTCAGCGCATCTTCCGGTAGCCCCCGGTCGAGCGACAGCTGGACGCGGCCAGGACCACTGCCTCCGCCGCCGTGCGCCGTGGTCAACCACCGCCGCCAAAATGGCCCGTATGCGACACTCACTGCCGGTATCGGACTGCTTGGCGACGAGCTTCTGCGCGTATGCCTTCTTGGCCTGCTTGATGAGGTCCTCCTTGTGCTTGTAGGCCCTCTGCGCGGCCTTGTCGTCCTCCCGTGCCTGGAGCGTTCGGCGGTGGACGACGCCGTATCCGATGCCGCCGACGAGGGCCGAGTAGCGGACCACCTATCGTGCGGGTTGTGGTGTGGCGTGCGAAGAGAGACGGCGTGGCGAAGTAGCAGAGAGGGTCGATCGAACGGAGCGGATAGGTCAAGGGATGGCCAAAGGTGGATGTAGAAGTCGGTGGTGTTGGCGGTGCGAAGGTGTCCGACGACATTTTGCGAGGGATCGGGCGACGCCAAAGGCGAGCAGGTCAGGTCAAGAGAGGGATAGGCGGCAGAGAAGCGGCGCTGGGGCGTCAGCTGGATGCAACCTGAGCGGACGAGATGTGAACAGGGGGAAGCGCCGCGGTCCGAGCCGACTTGTTCTCCACCAGGGTGGGGCCTACGCTGCCTCGACTGCCAATCAGCAGTAGCCGATGGCTTTGCGAGGAGACCTCGATACCTACGTTGAGTACTGGCGAGGTCATGATGCTATGTGTTGTGAGTGTGAGTTGGCGGTGCCGTGGAGAGGGGGGTCGGGGCGATGCGGTGAGATCCTGGCGGCCGAAAGGAATCCGGGTGCGAGGAACAGCGGCCGGTCAAGGGGACGGCGATCGAGCGAGTCGGGAGAGGTCGACGAGGTAGGAGAGAGACGAGGGCCGAAGGAAGCGAAGACGAGCAGGCAGGTGATGGTGGAGATAGGGTGGTGACGATGGCGAGGAGCACAGACGAGCACGCCGGACGGCACGGGCTCGGGATCGACCGCGAGACGGCGCCGGCCCCCACGGCAGCGCAGCAGCAGCAGCATCAGCAGGCGGCAGCAGGCGGCGGCGGCGGCGCTTCGAACTTCTCAAAATCGACCAGGGCAGGCCCGGGGCCGCTCCCCTCGCTCCCTTGGCCAGGGCTCGCTGGATTTCGGGTGCGAGACTTGGGGGCCAGCCAGCGGCCCGGCCAAAAAGATTCAAGATTGATCGACGCCTGCTGCCACCTCTCGCCCGATAGACGGCCTAGCAAGCCAGGGCAGCGAGAGCCCAGCGCTGACTGGGCCCAAGCCGCAGCGGGCGTGAGGCAGACCAGCAGGAGGGCCAGCCCCGCCAGCCGCCAGCAGCCAACTACTCGGGCGCCAGTCGGACGAAGCCACCCAAGCGCAGACGACAGAGAGGCAAAGGCAGACAGAGAGGCAGACGCAGACGCAGGCAGAGACCGACAGAGAGACAGACCAGAGGGATGGGCGCGCGAAGAACCAGCCCGACGCCGCTCAGGGCCAGGCCAGACCAAGCCAGACCCGCCTGACCCACCGCCTTGGCTGGCCAGCCTGCAAGCAAGCAAGCTCGCAGTCGTCGTACCCCTCTCGTCGCCATCACACCTCACCTTCCGTCACGCACGTACACCCTCTTCGCAACCCGCTTCTTCCCCCCTTCCCTCCCTCTCTCGCTCACAGACATCATGGTCCTCAACCAGGAGAAGCTCGCCAAGCTCCAGGCCGCCGCCCAGGCCAACCGTATCGGTGCGTTGGACCCCCGCGCGCCTTTGCCTCGAGCCAGGTCTTTGTCCGACGAGGTCAATGACGGCGTGCTGACCGCCGCTGCTGCCATGCTTCCTCTACTCCCCTCTCTGCCTGCTCCGCTTCGCAACGCGGTGCCTCTGCTGATCCTGCCGCTGCCGCCGTCGTTGCCGCTCCGTCCACATTCCTCACGGCCGCCGCTATGCACCACTTTCCTTCGGCACCCGACTTTGCGCGACCACGATCAATGAATTCGCCCATTGCGACCTGATAACCTCGAAATCTCCGGCATCTGCTACCACCGATCCGACCGCCATCGCTGCACTCGATTTTTCGACACCGGGTTCCTGCGCACGGTCCGGCTCGATTCCTCAATCCCGTCCCGGCCATCCTGCCTCGGGCTGTCCTCTGACCTCGCGCAGGTGGCAAGGGTACGCCGCGAAGGAAGGTCCAGAAGAAGCCCAGGGGCCCCGGCGGCGGAGAGGACACCAAGCTCCAGGCCGCTCTCAAGAAGCTCCAGGTGCAGCCGATCTCGGGTGTCGAGGAGGTCAACATGTTCAAGGAGGACGGCAACGTCCTTCACTTCCAGAAGGCCCAGGGTGAGTGCCGCGGCCGTCTTGGGAGACCTCGATCAGGTGTCAGGGGTCATCGCAGGCGATCAGCGGGCATGAGGCGACGATTGCAGTCGGACGCTCGGAAGGGTGGTGGGCATACTGGGGCAGTGCGTCGGGCACAAGATGTCGGCCGCGCGGTGATCGGACCGGCAATCGGATGGACTGCAGGCCGCCACGGCTCGACATTGGCGAGCGTATGCCGGCCTTTTCGGGGACAAGAGAGCGCGTCTGCACCACCAGGCCTTGGCAGCATGGTGGCTCGACTCCGCAGTCACACGGAGAGGAGATTCTCGGGCGGTCAAAGTTGGACCTGCAGGGGCCGTGGCAGGCACGCTTCCCCTCTCGAGCGAGCGTGGCATGTCTCGCACGAGCTTCGCCGGCGACGAGCCGCCATCACCAGCTCGTACGACTTTTTACCAAGCTCCGGCAGGCAGCACGCTGACCCATCGTTGCACCTCTAACACCTCGCTGCTTGACCCATTGATCCCCCATTTCGCTCGGCAGTCCACGGCCTGACCAACGCCAACACGTTTGCCGTGTACGGCCAGGGCGCCGACAAGGAGCTCACCGAGCTCGTTCCGGGAATCCTCAACCAGCTCGGACCGGACTCGCTCGCCTCGCTGCGAAAGCTGGCCGAGAGCTACCAGGCCATGAACGCCCAGCACGCCGCCTCGCAGGCGGCCGCCGGCGGCGCCGACGCAAAGGACGACGACGACGAGGTGCCGGACGTCGTCGACAACTTTGACGAGGCCGGAAACAAGGAGGCCGAGGTCGACAAGCTCGACTAGGCGCGCGGCGCCAGACACACTGTTGTCCGTCGATGCCCTTATTCTTCGTTTTCTCAAGCTCGATGTTGTTCCTTACGCCGTAGCAGCAGAATCGGCTGCCAGAGAAGAAGCCAGCCAGCCAGTCGGCGTCTTGCAACCACCGCCATCTCTTGGGTTGGTTTCTAAAACTTGCAATTTGTCCTTGCTTGGCCTATTCGAGCTCCTCCTCCTCCTCCTCCTCCCGCTTCCCCACCACCCAAAATCCAAAAACTTCCCATTCAGAGACACATATTGTCTGTTCCGCGTCGTCGTCTGCTCGTCGTTGCATCGTAGGGGCGCTGGTCGGGGAGTGGTGGCAAAGACGGACTGAGCCTTGCACGCGCGCGGCGTTTTTTTTTGCCTCTCCCTTGGCTCGATTCCTGGCTCGCTGGCCGATGCCGAGAGGGAGGTCTCGCACGTATCACCCTGGACCGGTCTCGTATCGTGGCGCGGCATAGCATGCGCCTTCAACCTTTTCGTTCAATCGCCGTCACCACTAGGGAGTCAGAGGAAGGCGTGGGTGTGGGGAACAGAGGATTGCGACCGTCGACTAAGCTGGGAATAGGTATGGGATTGCGGAAGCAGGCCATGGAGACGCGAGACCAAAGACGATGACGACAGGAAGACAAAAGGCGGCGAGGCCGAGAGACCTTAGATCTTGGCCATGGCGGCGACGTCGGTCGACTGGACGTAGTCCTCGACCTCGTCGGCGATCCTCTCCTGGAGCTCGTCGAGCGAGACCTTGGCGTCCTCGACGACGAGCGACATCTGGAGCTTGGAGACACCGTAGCCGATGGCGACGAGCTTTGACGAGCCCCAGACGAGGCCGTCCATCTCGATGGCGCGGACACCGGCCTCGAGCTCCTTCATGTCGGTCTCGTCGTCCCACGGCTTGACGTCGAGGGTGACGAGCGACTTGGCGGCCGGGCCGGGGCCCTTGGCTGCCTTCTTCTTGTTGTACTCAGCGACACGCTCCGCCTTGATGCGCTCGGCCTCCTCGTCGACCTCGTCGTCGGAGCCAAAGAGGTCAACGTCGTCGTCGTCGTCCTCGGCGGCGGCGGGGGCCTTGGCGTCGGCAAAGTGGGGGGCGAGGAGGGTGGCGGCCTTGGCCTTGTCGCCGGTGAGGTCCTTGTGCTCAGCCTCGTACGAGGTGATGTGCTCGTACCAGCGGGCGGCGTGGGCGTACTTGTCCGCGTCGGGGGCCTTGGCGACGGCCTCGTAGACGGCGACGTCAGCCTGCGAGGGGGCGTGGCTGTGTGGCGAGGCGAGGCACGCGAGGAGCGGGGAAGAGATGAAATCGTGTCGAGCAGGTCAGCGTCCAAGGCTCCGATGAGATCCAATGGTGGTGGCAGCTCGCACAGATCGCGCCTCTCTCGTCGTCGTCGTCGTCGTCCTAGTCTCCCTCCTGCCTCCTGCCTCGTGGGCAAGCGAGCCCTCTCGTGCGGGGGTATCCAACGAGGGCTGGTCCCCCCGCAGAGCGGCTCGGAATCAGATGGCTTGGAAAAGTTGGTTGTCGTCGTGGCAAAAAAGGCGCGGGGTCTTAAGCCGCTGGGCTCGGAAACACGGACCAAAGCGTAGGATCATCATGTAGAGCGAGGCGGAGATCGGCGAGGAGGGAGGACGACGAGGCAAGGGGCCGCTGACCGACGAGTGCGGCGTTGTCAATCAACACGGGGCATGCTCACCCGTCAATGTAGGACTTGTCGGCGAGGTAGCCGTCAAGCTTGGCCAGGGTGGCGTCGGAGGAGAAGTCGGGGAGAGACATTTTGGATAGAGGATGTGTGTGGTGAGGGGGTGGGTGGTGGTGATGGGCACGGAGGGAGAAGGAGGCACTCTTTAGCCACCCAAGTGGCGGGCCCTGCTTTTTCTCTCCCTTTACTGACCCCCCAAACGAAGGCGGGCAGCGAAGGCGGCGGCGGCAGCGGGCAGCAGGCACCTTGGCTTGCTTGTTCTGGCCCCTGCCCAACGCCGCCGCCAGCCCAGGCCGAGGAAAAAGTTTGTCCTGGCTGGCTGGCTGGCTGGCCGAGGCACGAGGCGGTTTCTTCTTGCCGACGGGCGGGCGGGTTTTCTGCGTTGGCTTCTTGGCTGCCCGGCCCTTGCTTGTTGGCTGTGGTTGGGCCAGCTGCGGGCGCTGGCTGGCCGGCAGAGGGGAGGCGCACGCGCCGCCTTCTTCCTGCTTCTGCTTTTGGGGCGTGGGCCAGCCGCGGCTGTTCGAGCGTGGCCGATCACGGACCTGGTTGGTTCCGGAGCCGACAACGGCGGAACAAGTCTCTCAGAATTCTCACGTAAGCATGACTGACCCAGACCCTGGTCTTGGGCCGGGGTGGAGCCCGGGGGGGGGGGAGGCGTGGTTGTGCGCGAGGCTGGGGAGAACGCGACCCTGCCAGGCCAGGCGAGCCAGGGCGGTCCGGAGCCTGGCCGAGGATGGCTACGGCTGGCGTCTGGGCTGCTTGGCCCTGGTGTAGCCACCCCTCCCTCCGCCCTCTGCCACCATTCGCGGCGATCCCATCCCAGCATACCCTTCTTCGGTCGTCATCGCCTTGATCCGCTCCAGCAGCACCAGCAGCGCCGCCCTCGACAGCTCCTCGAAACCCTCGCTTTCTCCATCGCCGCCCTTCTGCAGCGCAGCTACACCTTCGACACTACCACTACCACCACCACCACCGCCGCCGCGCCCCTGCCGTGCCTCGCCAAGATGCCCTCGGCAGCGTCGGCCCAGTCTCGCACGCTCAAGGCTTCGAACAACGCAAACGCAAACACGCCCTCGGCCACGCCCTCGGCCACGGCCTCGACCTCGGCCGTCAACAACGCAAAGCATGCCGCTACCAACCCCGCCGCCGCCTCCTCGTCCAATCCGCCCGCTGCTGGCGCCCCCGCGACCCGCTTCGTCCCCGCCAGCTTTCGCAACCAGCCGGGCACTTCGGCCCTCGCAGGCGGCATCGTAGGCCCAGAGGCCGCAGGCCTAGACCAGTCCAGCGCAGAGCACTTTTTCGTCACCCTCGCTGCCTACGCCGACGCCCTCGACGCACTCCCCCTCGACCTCACCCGCAGCTTCTCGGACCTCCGCGAGCTCGACGCCGTACTCGGCTCCCACCTAAACAGCCTCACCGCCCGCCTCAACCACCTCACCGCACTCATACAGGACCCCGACATCGACCAGGGTCAGCGCCTCCTCGCCCTCAAGGAGGTCGCAGAGGAGGCAAGGGCCTACAAGATGGGCGGCGAGGACAAGATCCGCGTCGCACTCAACACCGCAGAGACCATCATCAGCCACACCGACTACATCGACGCACTCGTAGACCAGCTCGACCACTTCCCCCAACTCTCCCCCCTCCTCAACCCCAAAAAGCACCTCAACCTCGACCAGTACTACCACGCCGACACGGGCAAGCTGCGCGAGCAGTTCCTCGTCGCCTCTTCGCAAAACGCCGCCAACGGCTCAGGCGTCGCAGCCGGCATCCTCGGCTCCACGGCAAAGCAGGACGCCAACGGCGCCGCCTCCACCGCCTCGACCGGCAACAAGAAGCGCAAGGTCGGCACCACCGCTGCTGCCGCGCCCAACGCCAAGGGCTCCAAGCCCGGCGACGCAGCCTCGGCCGCCGCGTCCTCGGCCGGCCTCGGTCCCACCCCCAACAAGAAGCGCAAGACCGCGGGCGGCACCGGCTCGGCGGCCAACGGGTCCTCGAGCGCACAGGGCGGCTCCAAGGTCGCACGGACCGGGTCCAGCTCCGGAGCCAAGGCCGAAGACGACGGGTGGCCGCGCTCCAACTCCAACGCAGGCAGGTCAGCCTCGGGTGCCGGCGGCTCGTCGTCATCGTCGGCGAAGAAGAAGAGCGACAGCTCCAAGGCTTCCGCCTCGGCCTCGGCGGCCAACAGCGCCAACAACCGCCTGCCGAGGGCCGCACACGCTGGCGGCACCTACGTCGACGGCGATGACGATGAGAACAGCGCCGGCGCCGGCGCTGGCCGCAGGGGCGAAAACGGCCGCCGA